TTTCCACAGTTTTGAGAGAGTTACGGAGACATGAAGGTGGGTATGGCATTGTTCTGAGTAGGTTAAGGTATTTCATTCTTAATCAGGGGTAGCCCTTGATACAGAAACAGCTCTAAATGTTGCTTGCATCATGGGGTCGATAAGAATTGAAAGGTGTAAAGAAGCAGTAATGGGTTGAAAGGGATGTTTAATTTAGTTTAACGTGGTTTTATGAATGAGTGAATAGAAACATGGTATAGTAAGCACAGTGCGTTTGTGAGTGAGTTGGTAAAGAATGAGTGAATGAATAGAAATGTGATACAGTAAACACAGAGTGCTTGTGAGTGAGTTGGTGAAGAGAATCATAATGCAATATCTCACACTTCCATGATTGAGTTCCAAGAAGAACAGTTTCTTTGCAATTAAACGAAGACTTGTGGATGTCGGAGATCTGAAACAAAAAAAAGGGATTGCTGGTGAAACTCAGCAGGTCTCACAGCATCTGTGGAGAGAAAGCTGAGTTAACGTTTTGAGTCCAGTCATTCTTCATCAGAACAGTTTCTTTGAGAGTCTGGTGTCAAGCGTACAAACAACAAGTTCTCCCTGAAGGAACCAGATTAGAGGGATTAGTGCCTCAATGCTCAAAAGTTGGTATGGAAGAGGACGCTGCAGTTTGACTGGATTTTTGCATCGAATTTTTAGGATTTTGTGAAAGCTCCACATGTTCATGTTTCTGTGCTATGGATCATCCATGTCTCTGTGGTATGTAGGAGCAAAGGATCACTGCTGCCTGCTAAAACTTGACTTTAGTCTTGGCTTTGAGGTCTGGGTCCTCGAATATTGTCTTAGTTGAGGCTGAGCTGGCACATTGGAGGTGATGATGAATTTCACTATCTATGTCTGTCTTCTTTGAGGTGAAGCTCGCAAGATACAGCAAGAAGGTGGAGACTTGCACTAACTGTTCCTTCAGACAGCTACTGCAGACAAAACAGAAAGAATGGTTCCCTTTTGTGTGTAACAGATCTGTGACTCTGAATGGTCCACATTTTCCAATGTCTTGTCATCGATCTTAATGAGGGATATTTTGCTTTGGGAGCTGATTGAAGAGGACTTTAATTTGCTGTGTTTTTATTGAAAGAGCCATTTCCTCATATGCTACCACTATCACTCTATTCATAAAGCTATATTTTGCTTAATTTCACAGGATGTTATTGTTGCTCTAAGCCTCTTGTACCAAGACAGTGCTTAAAACTGACACATACACTTCCCCGCCTCTTTGACCTGTCTGTCTCCTCTCCACCTATCTTCTCCTCTATCCATCTTCTATCTGCCTCCCCCTCTCTCCCTATTTATTTCAGAACCCCTTTCCCCTCCCCCATTTCTGAAGAAGGGTCTAGGCCCGAAACGTCAGTTTTCCTGCTCCTCTGATGCTGCTTGGCCTGCTGTGTTCATCCAGCTCTACACCTTGTTATCTCAGATTCTCCAGCATCTGCAGTTCCTACTATCTCTCACATACACTTCAATCCTGTTTCCACTTGACAATCATCTGGATCCAATTGATGTTTTCTATCAGTTGTCTCTCTGTGGGGAAACCTGCTCCTTTGACGATCTGTTCGACTACTGATTTTTTAAATGTCTGGTTGATTGATGTCTTCCTAGCAAAATCAGTTTTTTAAAATAATTAGGTTAAGAATGAATTATTTTAAAATCTTTTCACATACAACATCATTACTACATGTTCCATTGATTCTGCATAGATTCTGTATTGGGTGAATGAGTGTTGGTGTGCCACAGGTGGTATGGAGACTAGGGGGACCATGGGAAGAAATGTGTAGAGGGACATAGGTTGTCATGGAAGGGGGTATGGGTAACGCATGGGATTGAGGAGGTGAGGGCTAGAGGACTTGTTTTCTGTTTTTATCGCTTTTGCAACAGCTGGGATGAAGTTCCAGAGCTACAAGAAAGGCCTTTTACATAGACTGCCTCTGCACCCAGTTACCCCTGTGGCTGCCTCCTAATTCTTATTGGGGGTGGCAGGCCAAACTCTTCCAAGCATGCAGACACCCAACAAAAATCTCATCCTTGCAAGTATTTTCTCCCGAGGTGGGCAGGTCAAGCCAGGCTCTTTCTCACCTCACAATATTTGCTGCTAGGATGTGAATCCACCCCAATGTCTCTATTTATAAAGAACAAAGAACAAAGAAAATTATAGCACAGGAACAGGCCCTTCGGCCCTTCAAGCCTGCGCCGATCCAGATCCTCTATCTAAACCTGTCGCCTATTTTCCAAGGATCTGTATCCCTCTGCTCCCTGCCCATTCATGTATCTGTCTAGATATATCTTAAATGACGCTATCGTGCTCGCCTCTACCACCTCCACTGGCAACGTGTTCCAGGCACCCACCACCCTCTGCATAAAGAACTTTCCACGCATATCTCCCTTAAACTTTTTCCCTCTCACCTTGAAATTGTGACCCCTAGTAATTGAGTCCCCCACTCTGGGAAAAAGCTTCTTGCTATCCACCCTGTCTATACCTCTCATGATTTTGTAGACCTCAATCAAGTCCCCCCTCAACCTCCATCTTTCTGATGTAAATAATCCTAATCTACTCAACCTCTCTTCATAGCTAGCGCCCTCCATACCAGGCAACATCCTGGTGAACCTCCTCTGCACCCTCTCCAAAGCATCCACATCCTTTTGGTAATGTGGCGACCAGAACCGTACGCAGTATTCCAAAAGTGGTCGAACCAAAGTCCTATACAACTGTAACATGACCTGCCAACTCTTGTACTCAATACCCCGTCCGATGAATGAAAGCGTGCCGTATGCCTTCTTGACCACTCTATCTACCTGCGTTGCCACCTTCGGGGTACAATGGACCTGAACACCCAGATCTCTCTGTGCAGCAACCCGAAGGGTCACCGGACCCGAAACATTAACTCTGATGTTTTTCTTCACAGATGCTGCCAGACCTGCTGAGCTATTCCAGAAACTTCTGTTTTTGTTCCTGGTTTACAGCATCCGCAATTCTTTCGGTTTTTAGTCACATCTATCAGCCCGTTTATGTCCTCTAGATGTTTATCACCAGCCACCTCACAGTTCGCAATACTTTCAAGTTCTGTGTGATCTGCAGACAAATCTAAATCACTCATATAGATTAAGGAACGCCACAGCCTCGAACAATGTTGGCTACATGTACTCTGTAATATCAGCGCTGAAGCAGTAACTAAACTAAGCAGTTGGCCCACTATGTCAAAACTTTTCATATTTCCCTTCGAAGACTTGTACGCCAAACATTGCAATAGGGAACCAAAATGAGTCTTAACGTTATATCAACTGTAAACTGTAGTTGGAAATCTTTGATTTCTTGAATAAAATGTTCAAACCCATATCTAGCAAGATCTTGAAAACTGGTTAAATTAGATTATCACTTGAAAGCGTGTCTCCCTTACTGTGTGTGACATAGGTGGAACTATGACATAGTTTGGGAGGGAAACAAAGACTTTCTTGAATGTGATCAATGTAATCAACTTAAATAATCAGTGAGAACTGAGACGCTACACATTTGTGTAGCATGTTAATCACCTTTGACCTACGCCCACCACTTTGGCATGGTTAACCAGCCCATCCTCTTCGACTGCCTCCGCTATGGATCACACAATGAAACTACCCTTGATTGGTTCCAATTCTACCTGTCTGAATATAGCCAGCTTGATCATGTTTATCCTCCCTCTTGCACATGACCACCCAAGAAGGACCTCATTTTTTACTTTGCATTTCTATTATTTGTATATGGTCAATATTCCCTCGAAGACACATCTGCATAGCAATCTAGGCAGCATCAGAGGAGCAGGAAAGTTGACGTTTCAGGATGGGACCTTCTGAAGAAGGGTCCTGACCCAAAACGCCAACTTTCCTGCTCCTCTGATGCTGCCTGACCCGTTGTGTTCCTCCAGCTCCACACTGTGTTACCTCTGACTCCAGCATCGGTAGTTCTTGCTATCTTGGATTAGCAATCTGACTTGTACAAGATTGAAGTAAACTGACTGATCACAGCAATGAAGTCAAGCAGATTCGGAGATGAGCATCAAATTCTACTGCAAAAAAAGTGAGTGGGAGAAAGTGTAGCTCTGTTTGGGGGACAGGGAATATGATTGAAGAAGACAGAGCAGGGAAGAGAGTGAATATGTGAAAGGAGGAGTAAAGAGTGTGGGAGAAAGAAATCTGCGATTGGAGGAATAGTGAGCTCTAGCAGACTGGAGTGGGAGCAATGTCTAAAAGTGAGCAGCAGAAATGCTGGAGTCAAAGCGCCAGATATGGCCTGTGAGCTCAAGAAGAGACATAGCCTCAGATGGTGAAAGCACTTCTGATCCTTTAGTTCAATGGTTATGGGAATCAGAGAGTCTTGGAAACATTCCCCAATGTAGCTGGTCAATACTGAATGGACAGAGAGGGGCAGAGCTAGATAATGAGACCAGGAGAGATAGAATGAGATATGTGAGGGACATAGGCTGGAATCTAAGCGACAAAGGGAGAACAGGCTGTGTAATAATAGGGAGAATGGGAAGTGAAAGGTAATAGGAAACTGAAAGTCATGACCTCAACTCACTACTTTCGGGAGTTGTGGTTCAGCCCCTTAAATGCACTTTGCTATGGAACACTCTCAGAAATGCAAATTGATTTTTAATGGATCCACTGTACACTAACATAATATAATACAGCCAGACTGCAGGTGGGAAGGAACATGCAAATAAAGTTTGCTGATCCCAGTGCCACTTAAAATCACCTTAAATAGACAAGTAAATTTTTCAAGAAATTCTAACTGCACACCATTAATGTAAGAAATGTTTATTACATGTTTAAAGTGTTTCTATTCAATTATTATGTTTTGCTATTTAGACAGACTCAGTAAATTCAGCATAAATGCAAACAAAGTTGCTTCAGTATGGGACAGGTCCAGACAGGCACTAGGACCTAAGGAATGTCCTGTGCTCCTCAATTCTTCCTGTTTACAGAAAGATTTGCAAATGATAAGAGCGCTTAGCTGGCTGAATTCTGCCACTTACTCCAACTGTACAGTGGAGATCTCATGAACAGGCAAGAAGAGCAACACAGATTGGAATTCTCACCATCAGGTCAGATCTTGGCTAAAGTTCTCATTTGAAGCCAAATTTATTGCATTTCAGGAAGTCTACTGAGGTAGTATGGGCTGAGGTTAGAACCAGGAAAGGAGAGGTCACCCTGTTGGGAGTTTTCTATAGGCCTCCAAAAAGTTCCAGAGATGTAGAGGAAAAGATTGCAAAGATGATTCTGGATAGGAGCGAAAGTAACAGGGTAGTTGTTATGGGGGACTTTAACTTTCCAAATATTGACTGGAAACGCTATAGTTCGAGTACTTCAGATGGGTCAGTTTTTGTCCAATGTGTGCAGGAGGGTTTCCTGACACAGTATGTAGATAGGCCAACAAGAGGCGAGGCCACATTGGATTTGGTACTGGGTAATGAACCAGGCCAGGTGTTAGATTTGGAGGTAGGAGAGCACTTTGGTGATAGTGACCACAATTCGGTTACTTTTACTTTAGCGATGGAAAGGGATCGGTATATAAAGCAGGACAAGAGTTATAGCTGGGGGAAAGGCAACTATGAGGCGATGAGGCAAGATTTAGGATGCATAGGATAGAGAAGGAAACTGCAGGGGCTGGGCACAATTGAAATGTGGAGCTTGTTCAAGGAACAGCTACTGCGTGTCCTTGAGAAGTATGTACCTGTCAGGCAGGAAGGAAGTGGTCGAGCGAGGGAACCGTGGTTTACTAAAGAAGTTGAATTTCTTGTCAAGAGGAAGAAGGAGGCTTATGTAGAGATGAGGCGTGAAGGCTCAGTGAGGGCGCTTGAGAGTTACAAGTTAGCCAGGAAGGACCTAAAGAGAGAGCTAAGAAGAGCCAGGAGGGGACATGAGAAGTCTTTAGCAGGTAGGATCAAGGAAAACCCTAAAGCTTTCTATAGGTATGTCAGGAATAAAAGAATGACGAGAGTAAGATTGGGGCCGGTCAAGGACAGTAGTGGGAAGTTGTGCGTGGAGTCCGAAGAGATAGGAGAGGTGCTAAATGAATATTTTTCGTCAGTATTCACACAGGAAAAAGACAATGTCGTCGAGGAGAATACTGAGATACAGGCTATTAGACTAGATGGGATTGAGGTTCATAAGGAGGAGGTGTTAGCAATTCTGGAAGCTGTGAAAATAGATAAGTCCCCTGGGCCGGATGGGATTTATCCTAGGATTCTCTGGGAAGCTAGAGAGGAGATTGCAGAGCCTTTGGCTTTGATCTTTATGTCGTCATTGTCTTCAGGAATAGTGCCAGAAGACTGGAGACTAGCAAATGTTGTCCCCTTGTTCAAGAAGGGGAGTAGAGACAACCCTGGTAATTATAGACCAGTGAGCCTTACTTCGGTTGTGGGTAAAGTGTTGGAAAGGATTATAAGAGATAGGATTTATAATCATCTAGAAAGGAATAATTTGATTAGGGATAGTCAACACGGTTTTGTGAAGGGTAGGTCGTGCCTCACAAACCTTATAGAGTTCTTCGAGAAGGTGACCAAACAGGTGGATGAGGGTAAAGCGGTTGATGTGGTGTATTTGGATTTCAGTAAAGCGTTTGATAAGGTTCCCCATGGTAGGCTATTGCAGAAAATACAGAGGCTTGGGATTGAGGGTGATTTAGCGGTTTGGATCAGAAATTGGCTAGCTGTAAGAAGGCAGAGGGTGGTGGTTGATGTGAAATGTTCATCCTGGAGTTCAGTTACTAGTGGTGTACCTCAAGGATCTGTTTTGGGGCCACTGCTGTTTGTCATTTTTATAAATGACCTGGATGAGGGCGTAGAAGGATGGGTTAGTAAATTTGCGGATGACACCAAAGTCGGTGGAGTTGTGGATAGTGCAGAAGGATGTTGTAGGTTACAGAGGGACATAGATAAGCTGCAGAGCTGGGCTGAGAGGTGGCAAATGGAGTTTAATGCGGAAAAGTGTGAGGTGATTCACTTTGGAAGGAGTAACAGGAATACAGAGTACTGGGCTAATGGTAAGATTCTTGGTAGTGTGGATGAGCAGAAAGATCTCGGTGTCCATGTGCATAGATCACTGAAAGTTGCCAACCAGGTTGATAGCGTTGTTAAGAAGGCGTACAGTATGTTAGGTTTTATTGGTAGAGGGATTGAGTTTCGGAGCCATGAGGTCATGTTGCAGCTGTACAAAACTCTGGTGCGGCCGCACTTGGAGTATTGCGTACAGTTCTGGTCACCGCATTATAGGAAGGATGTGGAAACATTGGAAAGGGTGCAGAGGAGATTTACCAGGATGTTGCCTGGTATGGAGGGAAGGTCTTATGAGGAAAGGCTGAGGGTCTTGAGGCTGTTTTCGTTAGAGAGAAGAAGGTTAAGAGGTGACTTGATAGAGACATACAAGATGATCAGAGGATTAGATAGGGTGGACAGTGGGAGCCTTTTTCCTCGGATGGTGATGGCTAGCACGAGGGGACATAGCTTTAAATTGAGGGGTGATAGATATAGGACAGATGTCAGAGGTAGGTTCTTTACTCAGACAGTAGTAAGGGCGTGGAATGCCCTGCCTGCAAAAATAGTAGACTCGTCCACTTTAAGGGCATTTAAATGGTCATTGGATAAACATATGGATGATAATGGAATAGTTTAGGTTAGATGGGCTTCAGATTGGTTTCACAGGTCGGCGCAACATCGAGGGCCGAAGGGCCTGTACTGCGCTGTTATGTTCTATGTTCTATGTTCTATGAATAAATGTTCAATCAGCGCAGAAACTTCTTCATTAACAGTCAGAATCAATGGTATATGATTATTCACAAATATACATCTTTATTGGAAAGAAACTGACTGTACTTACAAAGAAAAAAGATTGTTCATTTTAATTTTATTCATTGTGTTTGCATGTTCACTTTTTTACTCAAAAGCAGTTATAATAATATTAACAGACCTACTAAGTATCATTCACTTGAAGTGACACTCATTCCTATTTAAAGTAGGATTTTCGCAAAGAATCTATCATGTGTCAGGCTGTTTGAAGAGCTAAGAAGTTTTTATTCTCATCATTTAAACATAGTAATCAGATATATAGTGAAAGAGGTTTAATCCACTTTAGTGTCTGGCAATTTCACTGCATATCTTAGCAGTACTTTTATTACATTTGTACCAGAGGGCAACTGGTTCTACCTCCAAAGCATTGTCAATGGCCAGCAAATTTTATCAACAAAGGCCTATTTAACCTTATTTGTAAGAAGGCCAATAAGGACCATGATGTGCTGGATCAATGAATCAAGCCAAGACCCTTTGATGGATCTCAAATATATTTCTGATCCATGCGAGGTTCGAGTTTCTCTTCCCATTGTCCTGTCACCTTATGAATTTGGCTGGAAGGATCTTCCACTTGCCACTCCTCAGATGGCAGTCAAGAGTCGGAACAAAGAATGAGGATTTTTTCAACTCGATTCTATCAGAAATCGCAGCTTTGTCAAGCTGGGAATTCACCACAGCAACATTTTTGTAGCTGAGGAATTTTGACCTTGATGTGACACATGATTGCATTCCCTCAGTAACTGCAGATCACGCGTCAATCCAGTGACCAGAGACATGTGAAGTGAACCTTGTTGCAAGTACATTGTGATTTTCTATTTTTCTTTCGTTTGTGCTTTCAAGTTTACGTAGGAATAAATTAGCCAATTTAAAATTGTGAATACCTGCTATTTTGATTGATAGCCAATATTAGAGCAAAAACAGAATTAGCTCTTTTTGATACATTGTTGACCATCATACTACAGTTGAGATGGTCAAATATATTAAAAAAAATCCACCAAATTGAGTGGAATAAAGGGTTAACAGTACCATTGCTCTAAAAATAGCTGCTGGTGTAGCAGTTAATCAGTAGACACGAGAGAGATCAAAAGTTGTTACCAACTTGTGTGTTTCACTTACAGGATTATATTTAATTAACTCGGGCTCCTTGCACACAGCTTTGTGCAAGAAAAAATAAATCAGGAATTTGCACAAGAGGATCATAACCAGCACAATTTTTGTATTAACTTGAAAATGTAACCCTTATCATTAATTAAATAGCCTGTTAGCTGAAGTGGTTTTGGTTTTGGTTCTCAAAAATCAATTGACTGATTGATTTAAGTAATTTTACAAGTGAATGTAGTTGGCTGGCAATCTGGACTTTGGAATGCTTCATAACTTTTGTAGGGTCATATTTGTGGCTGAGAAACTTTCAATGTTTGCTGGAACTTTCTGTCAATATAAATTGTGTGATCGATTCAGCTATGACATGATAGTTGCGTTCCTGTTCAACACTGTGTTATAGAAAATTGCACTATAGAAATAACGGGGCCTACGGGGAAAGTGGGGTTGGAGCAGACCACCAAAAAAAAATCACTTAAAATTGCTCCAAAATTACTCAAAAGCCTAACACAAAAGATAGCATAATTTGAATAAATGTTTAATTCATGTCTAAAATGAAATAAAAGTAAATTTAACACTTTACCTTGAAAAAAAATGTCAAGATGACCTGATAGGGGAGGAGGTTGTACTGTGCCTCTCACAGAAAGAATGCCAGCACAGAGACTCTTTCGGCGCCAACATTGTAAGTATTCACGACAAAGCCCATGAAATGAGTACTCCTCTGCACACCGACAGAATCATGTTATAGCCAACTCAAGTTCATGTTTTAGAAATAGCATTCACCTATTCATCAATCACGTTATAGCCAGTTCACTTTGATGGAGCACGCGTTATAGCAGAACCAACTGTATTGTCGAACTGATTAAAAATACTTGCAACATGATTTGCTTTCTGGAAAACAGTGAGGTTGCTATTTACAGGACAGAGGCAATGACATTGGAGCTCTAGGTTGCAAGAGGCAACCCCAACACAGGATTTTCAGGTTTTCAGTTTCCTAGACGTAACTGAGCACCAAAGCCTCATGGGGCTCAGAACTTCATGTCAGATGGACATGAGATTTGCAACCTCCTGGAAGGTGGCGTCTTTCCAAATGAATCAGGTGGGCATGCATTGCCAATAGTGGTCAAGCTCACCACAGCCTGTGATTTCTTTGTCTCTAG